CCTACCTACCTACCTACCTACCTACCTACCTACCTACCTACCTACCTACCTACCTACCTACCTACCTTCTTGTGCCATTTCGTCTTTCCTTATGAGGTCTTTTGAGAATTATACGGATCTACCAAGCCCCAACTTACAGCTGTACTAGAGAATCAGGGCCTATATCTTACCCCGGATTTACACTACATGCGTCTCCGCTCTGCTGCACTGCACTGCACAGTTCGCAGCTGTTCGTTTGTGTACCAATTTATACAGCCTCCGCTGCTCTCCAGTGCGACACACAGAGGAGAAGCGTGTGCAGGAAGGAGATTGCGCGATAAATCCACTGATAAATGTGGAAGTCAGAGCAAAAAATATTTAATCCTGTGAAAAACGAACTCCAAACACAGCTGAAAACATTAATATAAAGGCTTTAGATATCTATGTTGAAACTGTCTCGCTGTCGTCCTTTTGAAACTTCTGATTTCAAAATAAAATCCACGTGTATCGTGTGTGTGTGTGCACATATGCTTCATGCTACATGTTTCTATCTGCTTCCCAAACAGAACGATACATTCTGACAGCATTTGTGTAGAAATATATCCATATATTTATTAATATAGCTGCAATTTCAACACTATTCTGACAAATTATCCAGCGAATAATGTCTTAYTTTGAAAATACGGATGTTGTGCTYATTCGTCTTCCTGTTGGTGCGAAGTAATCTTTAAAAATTGACTCCGGCGCAGCTCCGGCGTCCGGCAGAAATAGGATCTGTTCTAATTTTGCTGGAGCGCCGTCCGCTCACCACCGCCGTGCGCAGCCAGTGTAACACTCTCATTGATTATAATGGGTGTGTATTTGCTGCGGAGGTCGGACCGGAGCGGAGCCGGAACGCATGTAGTGTAAATTAGGAGTTACTGTGTCCTTAGGAAGCTATCTGAAGTTTCGGTTATAGTTGTGCTTTAGAGTGATTGTGTCATTGTTGGCGCTCACACCCTCGCGCTATGTGCAACGCATCAACTACAAACCTAGCTTAAGTTGTTCTTTCAGCCAATCTCTTTTGCAGCGGTCACCACAGCGAGCAAACACGCATGAATGAACTATTTGGAAATTATGCTGGATGTCATTCCTAAACATGACCACTGATCTACCACAGTCGCTAGAAGAATATCTGAGTGTTTTTGTTMATTTTAACTATCACACAGTCTTTCTCGTGCCTCTTGTACCTGAAGCCTGGACTTCCATGATGTACTGATGGAGGTCCTGACCCTGCTGCATGACTTCAAACGTCATGTTGTTCATTGCTCCTTTCCTCTCTGCATGTCGTTTCAGTCGCTGCTCTGCCAGGGTGATGTCCTCGGTGCCGCCAGAGGAGGCGCCGCCGCTCCCACTGCTGCTGCTGCTGCCGGAGCGGCTGGCGTCCTTTAGCTGACGAGACAGATCCTCGTTCCAAGCGTCCAGTTCTGCTGTGACCTGACAGGACACAAACTAAATTTGATGAGCAGGACTGACCTTTCCTTTAAAGAAACAGACTTGGTTCTGTCAGTTAAAACTTTATAAAAATGTGCCTTCTCTGTTTGAACCTTTAAAAATGGATAAACCCTCATTTTGTTTGCAACCTGATGCCAGTTTCCGTACTTTAAACTGTAGAGGCATGTCATGAAGAGAAGCAGCAGACTTTGATCAGGTTAGTGTCTGAACAAACTCCTGAAGTCCTTTACCTCTATGGTGTACTGCTCAAAGATGCGTAGCTGCAGAAAAATGTCCAGCTTGATTTTGCGTTCGTGGAACAACTCCTCCATCTGACCCTGGGCCTCATCCAGCTGCTGCAGCACCCCCTGGATGTGTGCAATGGAACTGCAGTGTGGTGTTTTGTTGGTCGACATCGCTGCGTCCCTGCTCAGAGACACAATGAGATCTTTGGTGCATTTATGTTGCAAAAACTCAATTAATTCCTGAGTTCTGTTGTTATTTCTCACCATTTTATTTATTTATTTATTTAAAGTTCTTTTTCATTTTGCATCTGTTGCTAACATACATCATGAACCATTGGGTAGATTTTAATAAAACTTTGAGACAGAAATGACTAGATTTACATCTACAACTAATTAAATTTTAAAAAAGACCCAGTTCACGATGGCTTCCACAGATCCTCAACATTAGCCTCAACACATACTCTGAATGTGACATCTTGTGATTATTGCATGTGACTATACACAACATTATTTCCAAGGTTTGATCCAAACAGCTACAACTTATCATTTATAAAATGTTCTAAAATTAGATTCACATTCCTGGGGTCGGATTTAGAAAGCCTGTGTATGCACAAAATGGGCCCAGAACTTGCGTTCGCCACTTTTCACGCAATTTATAAAACCCAAACCTGGTGTGAAAATGTACGGTCCTACGCTCATTTTGGAGACGGGAAGCTGTGACACAGAAGGTGAAGTGAGGAATTATAGCCACACTGTAATGATCACTCTCAGATATTTAATTTCACTTCATACTTTTGGTATGAATCCTATGAAATCCTTTATAAATGAGTCCCCTGGTCATTTCGACTAATACTTTTTTATCTCGTGTTTTTTTTTTACAGACTTTAAAAGTGACAGCCATCAGAGTCCAGTCTCAACAGGCCAAAAAAGAGCTGAATGCACATAAGACATGATGTCACAGTCATCATGCTGTGTGTATGGAAGACGCTACACATGTCAGAGTGTGTRGAGAAATTCTGAAGTAGTGAATTTGGATCAAATATAATTATTATTAATAATTAGGGATGCATCGATACCGATACCAGTATTGGGTATCGGTGCATCCCCATTAATAATTAGGGATGCACCAATATGAAAATTTCAGCCAATATCGATATCCGATATAATTATGGCCGATAACCGATATTTACCGATATTACACAAACATACAAATTATATTATACATATACGCAAAAACACACTTAGGTCTTGTTTTGATTCTGTAAATAAACAACCAGACAACTGACATGGCTCCCTGCTTCAGTTATTCCTGGCTGCAGCATCAATATCACTGTTATGATCAAACAGATGCCGCTCAACCAACCGTCTCCCCTCCCAAAACAGAAACACAAAGATAAAACGTGGGAAATCAATACCGGACATTAATATCGGCCCAGTTTTACATATCGGACCAATACCGATATTCTAAAAAATGACCAATATCGGCCGATACCGATATCAATACAGATATATCAGGCATCCCTATTAATAATAATCAATAAGGCAGATAAATTCAGATATAAAGGTTCAGAGTGTGGTCACTTTTAAAAAAATCAGATATTTATCTAAATTTGTACTACATGCAATTAACATGAGTGTAATTTGAAAAATAAAGACAAACAAAACAAAAACTGAATTTGTTATATTTTGACTGTCATTAAAAAGTCAAATATGCTCTCATATGGGCAAAAATGGTTCGGACCCCTTTTTGCCTGCAGTGTGAAGATAACCTTAACCTAAACACCTGGGATGAAAAGTGAAAGGTAAAATAATTTTATCTGAACACTTTYATGATTTGCACTTACTGAGTAACATTGTTCAAGGGCTGCTGAATAAATCTTTCTATCCTGTTGTGTCTAATAAATAATAAATATTGTTCAGTTGGCTGAGTCTTTATTTGATTCGACTTAAACTGCACCCTAAATAATAAGACGACGCTGATTGTTACCTGAGCTGCTGCATTAACTCCTCCCCCTCTTTAATCACATTGAGTGTGGCCTCCAGTGTTGCTGTCTGCTGCTGCTGAAACTGTTGGATCAGTGCTTGGACTGAATCGACAGAGTCACAGCACACGTCGTCCAGCAGCTGCTTCTGTAATTCTTCCATCCAGGACCACAGCTGAACAGGAAGACACATATTCAGGTACACAAATTTACCAATCTCCTTAGTGACAGATCAATGTGGATCAGAGTGTGTACCTGGTACAATATGTACCAGGTTTGTTCCAGGTAAGTACTTGGTAGGGTACATAATTCATATACTTACAGCCCAGTGTGTACCAGGAAAATACCAGATATGTAGCTGGCAAGTACTTGATATAATATGATATTGTGACAGATCTTGTGATTTACACCCCTAGTATATACCAGGCAAAGTACCCACCTATGCAAAATTCAGTTATCACATACAATTTAAATACCAGTACTTACCGGGTAAATACTATGCACAATCCAGGTAGATACCTGGTGTGTACAAGGTAAGTTCCAGGTCTGTATTATATATTGCTACCCAGACTAATAAAAACAGGTTAACTAACTGTGCAACTCTGAGATTGCACGAAACCAATAATCAACCAATGCAACAGTCTAATCCTCACCTCCTTGGTGTGTGTATGGAAAGAGACAGACATGTCCAGCAGCAGCTTCCTGTGTTCCACCCGACGCACAAAGTCCTGGATTCGAACCTCCAGGTGTCTGGCTGCCTTGTAGATTTCCTCTGGGTCACATTCTCCTGTCTGAGCCAGCTGTTCCGCTGCCTCTAGTAGTTTGTCCGCATTTGTGTACGTGTTCTGCAATCAATCAATGAATCAATCAATGAATCAATCAATGAATCAATCAATGAACCAATCAATGAACCAATCAATGAATCAATCAGTGAACCAATCAGTGAATCAAATAATCAAACAATTGTGTGTTTGTCTGTTGGTAAAATATGTCATGAGACATTAAACAAATTGTAATGAAACTTGCAGAAGCAATAAATGTAAATACATCTAAAACTGATCCACTTTCGAAGTCAATCGGATTCGGTGCAGGGTGAAAGAAAAACTAAAAAAATAAGGATTCTGGAGCAAGAAGTGTTGCCCACTGTCAGAAAGCTTGGTCCTAGTCAAAGTTCATGATCCTCCAACAGGGTAATGATCCAAACACACAGCTAAAAACACCCAAGAATAGCTCAGAACCAAACACTGGACTAATCTCAAGTGTCCTTCTGAGCCCTGATCTAAATCCTATTGAACAACTGTGAATGGAGCTGAAATATGGTAAATGTTAAATGGTAAATGGACTGTACTTATATAGCGCCTTTCTATCCAACCAGGACACTCAAAGCGCTTCACACTAGAATCTGTGTCCCCATTTATCAAACCATTCTCACACCTGAGTCGTCACATACTGACGCTTTTCCAAAGTTCCCTCTGCGTCAAACTTTGACGCGTCGAGTACTTCCCTTGCGTCATTTTTTGATGAGATGTGGCAGAATCTGTTGTTATAATTTCTGAAAGTGTAGAAAATGCACAAAAACTACCGTCCCAAAGCCTAAAATTACCTTTATTCACTTTAGACATCTTGTCCCTGACCATAGTACCTAAAATTAACCATTTTTGGAAAATGTAGGAAATTCACGTCAACTACGTGTTCCAAAGCCTAAAACTACCTAATATTCACTGTAGACATCCTATCCCTGACCCCAGCACCTAAAATTAACCACTTATCCTGATCCCTCATATTAACCTCAGACCCCCGACCCAAAGACCCCTGGTGGGGCAACCCGGAGAAGCCGCGGGTGGCAAGGACTGACGCGAGGGGGTCAACCGACGCGTCAAAATAAGACGCAGAGGGAACTTTGGAAAAGCGTCAATATGTTGACGAGTCGGAACTGAGAATGTGACACATTTACCCATTCACACAGCACTCTATTAGGTCTCTACAAAGCTAACATGTACAATCATCTATGGAGACTAATCAGTGCCAATCATATTCATACACTGATGGGACACAYATCAGAGGCATTAAGGGTGAAGTGTCTTGCCCAAGGACACAACAACTGAGACAGCTGGATGGGGGATCGAGCCGGTGACCTTCCGGTTCCAGGACGACTCCCCAAACCACTGCCACAGCCGCCCATGCAGTCTAGAGAGGGAAACATTTAAACATGAGACATGGAGTGAGACAAAATACCTGTGGACAGATGCATATGTATCACAGAAAGTTACAGAAATCCTTTCAATGCAACGATTACCTCAAAAGGTTGTGCCACAAGATATTAGGTTGCGGGCACCAACCTAACCCTACCCCTACCTCAAGCCCTAACCATAATCTGTAGCTGACCTGTCACTAATTACAGAAGAAAAACAAGAGTCACGTTAATGTTTTTGTCAGTTATTTCAATGGTCAACAAATAATTGTGACACTCTGCATTTTATGGAAAACACTGTATTTACAGGACAGCTAACCATCTGTTCCCACAGTTACCACTTCTATGTCCACTGGAGCAGCCAAAAAATTGTGTTTACATCTGTCTTTTTGTATATTTGTGCTGTTTACTGCAAAGCTGTTGATTATCCAGTGTTAMATTTTTTGCTGACGTGTGGGGAGTTCAACACAAGAATAAGATAAGACACAGACGTGTATTTTTCTTACATTTCATTCATAGCTTGCTTATTTTCTCATATTTCAATAATGAGTCTTTCAGTGTAAGAATGTTGTGCATTTCAACTACTTTCCTTTGGTCAACAAATTGTGGTTGTCTTGCATATTGATCAGTGTGTAAATGACAACACATAGAAGTTTAGTAACAGGCTACTTGGCATTTATCCAATGAAGGGAGCAGTGAAAGCTTTTATTATACATGATGTGTCTGATGACAGGCGAACATCATCAAAGACAGGCTTCACCCCCTAAATTACAAGCAATGTCTATCATTTTGGCAATAAAGTACAGAATGATTGATTTCAGACAAGTTTCAACCCTCGCGACCGTCAACAGCAGGACAGTCTGAACAGAGCCTAATATAGGATTCTGTTCTTCAACAGATTCAGCATTGAACTACCTGCTGGACTATCTCCCATCACACCAGCTTTAACACCACCAACTACCCCATCCTACTCCCTCCCTACCTCATTGGATGTTGCTGCCCATAACCACCCCCTACTCCCAGTGGTGGGCACCAGTCCGCTAAAGTGCAAATCCACTAATTGCGGACCTAAATATTTCGTTTGCGCTTTAGCGGTCTTACTAATTTTTATAATTCATAAGCGGATTTGCGTTTTCTAAAATTAAAATGTAGTACTGCTAATAACCTACCAGTCATCATTATCTTGAACAGCAGAAGGTATGGCTGTCAATGAATCACAACACACGTGATCTATCCAACAGCACCCCTCCCAGATAAACACACTTATTGGAAACGTATACATCCTTGCTGACAGTTACTTTCGGTTGCTTTCATACTCTGATGCTACATGTCTGTCACAGTCTGTCTGTTGTGGGTGTTTTTTGGTTACTCTTGTTTTATGTACTGTCTTTCTGTTTACCCCCTCCTGCCTGTCTTTGCTCCAGCCACTCTCACCTGTTCCTCACCCATTTCTCTCCCTGGTGTTTCTTGTTTTAGCTCGTTAGTTCCCCTTTATATTCTGTTGTCTGTCTTCAGTCTGGTGTCAGAGTTTTGCTGTTTGTATCCTGTTCTCCACAGTCACAGTGTTCTCTAGCTCCCAAGTCTGTTTTTTAAGTACTTCTTTGCTGCCACACCAGYGTTTTTCTTAATAAAACCTTTAGTTGCAACCTTTTTTGGACCAATTTCATTGCAGTTCTGCACGTGGGATTCAAACCTCTAATCATTACAATGTCAATGTGTGACATCCACTATTGTCGCAAATAGTTCAAACATGGTACGCATTAGTTTGGCCTAAGTTACTCTACTGTTGCGCATACGATCTGTATCTAAAAAATGGTTGTCATACACTTGTGTAAMGTGTATTAACTACGGTCAAGTTATGGATAAGTGACTCAGGTTATAAATGCATTCAACTCATTTGCAATACAGTATGTACTGTACACTGTACATACTGTAGAGTAGAGTATGTTCAAAAGAAACTCCAGTTCTTCAGCGTACGCCATTGCGTTGGACAAAATTTTGATACATCGATATACGTTTTCTAAAACGTTAGTGTGACAGGGCCTTGTACCATTCATCCATTATCTTCTGCTTTATCCAGAATCTGGTTGTGGCTTAAATAAGGATGCTCAGACCTCTCTGTCCCCAGCCACTTCTTCCAGCTCTTCTGATAGGATTTCAATGTGTTCCCTGGCCAGTAAAGAGACAGTGTCTTTGGCATGTACAGGGTCTTTCCCGGGGTCTCTTTCCAGTCGGACATGCCTGAAGTACCTCAACTAGCTCCTATCAATGTGGAGGAGCAGCAGCTCTACTCTGAAGGTCATATACGCTAAGTATATCTCATTTCTTTTTGTAGCTATTAAACTTATTATGTGCTGTACTTTTAAAGTAGTTTTTTGTATGTTTGGATATCTTCTACATTGTTCCACACTAACCTGCTTTTTTCCCTCTTTTTGTTGTTTTCGGTTCAGTTATCTAAGTCAAAACAGTCATTAAATGTCACAAAACAAGTTAATTTAAAATTAACGGTGGTCATTGCTTGGTGTTGGATGTGATACTAAACTTTAAAGGATATTCATGCGAATAAAATTGTACTCCAGAGGGGTAAACAAGACTTCCTGATTCTAAATGTCATTCATGTTGTTCATCATTAGTTTTGGATAAATTCACTAGCATTTAAAGAAGATTCTGTTTCCACCTCAGAATATGGCTTCAGACTAATTTAATGGCCTTTACACACAAACACAAGGCTAACAAAACAACACAAAAAAACACAACAGCCCCTGGCTGTTAATTCATGGTTCAGTAACATTTTCACTTTGAAAAAAACATAAAAGCTTTCAGCAGCAACGTCTGTCTGATAAATAGTAGAGATTATCTGAAACATGACACCTCAGGAAATGTTTCATATCTGAGATATTTAACTCAGTGCATCGGCACGTCTCATAATTTGACGCTACGCCAACATTTAGGATGAAAGTTAAGCACTCGCTGATGCATGAGGCCCCTGCTCCCCTCCTTAGTTATTTCTGCCTTATCTATTTCCTGCTTCTGTTCCCTGTCTCTTATTATCTTTGTGAGGTTTTCTTTTAGGTCCTGAGACTTTTTACATTGATAAAACATATTTTTTCTTAACAAACCTTTGAGTAACCATGGATCTGCATCCCTGAGTCATCAATCGAGTCTAGACTGTGATGTTGTCAGAATGGATATTTATTTTCAGTAGATGATGGAGGAGTTAACCGGTCATCACCATCATGGCTGTCAGTGGGAGGTGACCTCTCTCTGGGTCAGCACAGCCAAGACGAGTCACTGTTTCTCTGTGCTGTCTTCTGTGTACACAAAATCCTCCTATCTCTTTCCCCCGTTTTTTACTATCTTTTTAAACTTTATCATTTTAAAGGGATCCCCGATTAGTTGTAACATTAGACTTTATATGATAAACATATACTTTAACTGTAAAATAAAGAATGTAAAAATACTGTAGGATGTTCAGTTTTTTATCATTTTTAAACTAAAAGTTTAAAAATACATTACATGGACGGGGCCATTTTCTTTACATGCAAAGCATTCTGGGTAAATGATGACATCAACTAGGTCATCGGTGCTAGCGAGCTATATCCACCCTGAAGGTTAATCTTGGAAAATATCTGATGATCGACTCTTAAATGAAACCAGAGAGCGTTGACAAACAGGAGAAAGTAGAAATGACTCAGCCTGTAACTGAAAATATGGATGGAGGACAACAGAGCTGCTTCATGGAAGAACAACCTCAGCTTAGCCTGTTAGCCTTTG